AAGTCACAGGAAAGTTTTCTATCAGAATAGGCCTGAAGATTACATAAAACCCCCAAAACATTATATATTTTCTTAATCCCTCACCCTTCGGAGGATTCTCCCCCCCCCCCCTTCCTGACCAGGACCTTTTTTGCGATATGGCGTTGCCTTACTTTGACAATTGCGCGGTAATGCAATGCCGCACCCAAATTAAATTTATGTCCCTTTTTCCCACAAATTGAGCTTTCTATCGGTGGTATTTGATCGCCTGTGCGTCTTTTAATTTTTGCGCTATAAACAAAAAAAAAACGACAATTTTGAGAAAAAAAAAAAAACTATATTTTTTTTACTTTTTGCTATTAAACAGGTCCAGTAAAAAAAATCAAAAAATTTCTTTACAAATTTAAGCCAAAATGTATTCTGCTCCGTGTCTTTGCTGAAAAAAAATCACAATACGTGGAAATTAATTGGTTTATGTGAAAGTTATAGCGTTTACAAATGGCGGTATAGATACTGGGATTTTTATTTATTTTTATACTAGTAATGGCGGCGATCAGCGACCAGGGGTGGACTGACAACTCATGGGGCCCTCGGGCAATAGGGGATCATGGGACCCCTGTATCCTTGCCCAAACTCAAAAAAGCCTATGAAAAAGGTACCAGGGGCATCTCATGGGGCCCCCTACTGACCCCAGGCCCTCAGGCAGTGCCCGAGTTTCCAAATGGTCAGTCCATCCCTGCTTCTAGTGAACGGTCCTTCTGGAAAACTTCCATTCGATAAGTGCCTACAGCCAATCCGCTGCAGCCACTGATCAGTGTATTCTCAGAGCAGCCAGAATACAATGACACATTGGGGAGGATAGCCCCATCCACATTGAATGTGTGGATGGAGTAATCAAGTCAGTTTTTTTCATTCAACAGATTGGTTGAACAATAAAACAACAAAAAACTGACTAATGTACAGGCAGCTTAAAGTGTTACTAAACCCCCAACAGTACAATCAGTCTGTAGATGCAGTAAAGCATGCTTGTTATACTCACTGTGGGATCTAAGGGGTTAAACATCCATATTGTGGAAAACCGCTGTTTGATCTTGTCTTCTCTGATCCTCCACTTCTTCCAGTGTCCTCCTTTTATTCCGATAAGACATATCACGTGGAGTCACTGTGCACATGCTCAGAGGTTTGTTTTTTTCATGGGAGAGTGCATGTGATCAGCACAGGGCCAATCAGCACTGTCCAGACAGAGGTCAGGGATCCTGCATCCTCCTAGAGCAGAATGAAAACTCCTCCTACAAGCTTTAACCAGTGCTCAGCTGGACACTGATAAAAGTCACAAGACTGCTATATACTGCTGATGAGAAAAGGGATTTAGCAGTTTATATTTACTAAAATATTTGCACTTCCATGTTCTGTGTACTGTGGGAGACCGGATATAGTGAATGCAGGGTCTGGGGAGACCGGATATAGTGAATGCAGGGTCCGGGGAGACCGGACATCGTGAATAAAGGGTCCAGGGAGACCGGTTATGGTGAATGCAGGGTCCGGGAGACCGGATATAATGAATGCAGGGTTCGGGGAGACCAGATATAGTAAATTCAGGGTCCGGGGAGACCAGATATAGTGAATGCAGGGTCCGGGGAGACCAGATATACTGAATGCAGAGTCGGGGGAGAGCAGATATAGTAAATTCAGGGTCCGGGGAGACCAGATATAGTGAATTCAGGGTCCGGGGAGACCAGATATAGTGAATTTAGTGTCCGGGGCACCCAGATATAGTGAATGCGGGTCCGGGGAGAGCGGATATAGCGAATTCAGGGTCCGGGGGAGCGGATGTAGTGAATTCAGGGTCCGGGGAGCCCAGATATAGTGAATGCAGGGTCCGGGGAGAGCGGATATAGTGAATTAAGGGTCCGGGGAGCCCAGATATAGTGAATGCGGGGTCCGGGAAGAGCAGATATAGTGAATGCAGGGTCTAGTGAGAGCGGATTTAGTGAATGCAGAGTATGGGATTTAGGAAGACTTTAAGTCTAGCCATAGATACCTCATTTTTTGGATCAACCAGAGGGCTGATCAGAAAAAACCCCAAACCGATTCCCTTTTCCACACAAACAAGCTGGATGGAGGAATCCTCCCCGTATTCTGACACCTGGGACTCCTCTGCTGTCAGAATACAGTGATCAGCAGCGGCAGCCGGCTGATCAAAAAGGTTTTCCAACAAACCCGTTCAACAATAGTCAAGTGTTAGATTGTTTTCTGTCGAGCAGGAACTGCCATAGACAGATAAAAATGCAGCTGGTCCCTTCTGAATCAGCTAATTTCAATCCAATTTATGACCAGCTTTACTATCACAGATGTAGTGGACCCCCTGTAGTTGATTTAGTAAAGGCAAACAGGCCTTCATGCATGAGGTGAACTCCTCCAATCATTCCATGATCCAATTATGTACAAGAAAAAATATTGTTTTGATAATGTTCCTTGCACGTGATTGGGAATTTTTTTTACAATAACTGTCCTAAGGGAAAATTCCCTTGCAAAGTGAACAGCCTAGTTGCCTTTAGTAAATCAATCCCAGAGGTCAACAGGCAAAAGCAGGCCCTCAGCGGGCCAAGGCACAGGGTCCAACAATAGCCTGCCATATACGAGGCTGACGGCTCTCAGAATACCACAGCAGGCAGGGGAGGTTCTAAACACATGGACAGCAAAAGACCTAGGGCAGCATTCTGGCGAGTTCAAAAACACAGATGAACAAGAATCAACCGGGTGCAAAACAACAGACTAATCCTGCAAGAGCTGCAACATGAACATCTACGGATAGTGACACAAGTTGTTTTGGAGACAATGAACTATGTGTGTTACCTCAGCTATAGGTGATTTTTTCAGACCTTACTTTGACAAGATTGTATCCCGTTTCTCAAAAGTACTGGTTTTCCTTTTGGTGCCTTGGTTGGTATGCTAAAACCAAATGTGCATTATCCATAAGACTGTCCCTTTGTCTTCAGGGGGCAGCTGAATAGGTGGAGGACAGTTAATAGACTGTGCATCTCCATGGGGTCATTTGGCTTTGGTATGCTAGACTGACAGTTTATCCAAATGTCCAGGTATGATGGCAAATAGATTTAGACTTACCAAGGTACACTTGCTACAGATGTCATGACTCAGAATAACTATGAGAGATAGTAAATTATATTGGATAGTCATCACATCAAAAATGGTTTGAATTCCATCCAATCACTTTCTTGAGAAAGGTAATTATTGTGCAGTTTGGGCCAACCAGATTCCTCAATGATTTCGGATAGAAGGAACTAGGATAAAAAAAAATAAAGACATCCAGAAGACCTGGGTAAAAGGAAGGATGTTTCATAACACTAAAGAAGGTCTGTGCCATAGGGGGCACCATAACTCCCAGAGGACATGGGTAGAAGGAAGGAGACTCCATTAAACCAAAGGTTTGTGCCAGAGAGGGCTCCAAAACACCTAAAAGACATGGGTAGAAGGAAGGATGCGCCATATTATCAAGGAAGGTTTGTGCCAGACGGGGCTCCATAACACCTAGAAGACATGGGTAGAAGGAAGGATGCTCCATAACATCAAGGAAGGTTTGTGCCAGAGAGGGCTCCATAACACGTAGAAGACATAGGTAGAAGGAAGAAGGCTCAATAATACCAAAGCAAATCTGTGCCAGAAAGGGCTCCGCTATCCATTTCACCAAGAAGACCTGTGTAAAAGGAAGGAAGCTCCATAACACCAAAGAAGATCTTAGCCAGAGGGGGCTCCATAACACTGTGAAAACCTGGGTAGAAGGAAGGAGGCTCCAAAACACCAAGGAACGTTTGTGCCAGTAGGGGCTCCATAACACCAAGAAGACCTGTGTGTAAGGAAGGAGGCTCCATAACATCAAAGAAGGTCTGTGCCAGAGGGGCTCCATAACACCGAAGAGACCTGGGTAGAAGGAAGCAGGCTTCATAACACCAAGGAAGGTCTGTGCCAGAGAGCTATCCATTCACCAAGAAGACCTGGGTAAAAGGAAGGAGGCTCCATAACATCAAGGAAGATATTAGCCAGAGGGGGCTCAATAACACTGTGAAGACCTCGGTAGAAGGAAGGAGGCTCCAAAACACCAAGGTACGTTTGTGCCAGTAGGGGCTCCATAACACCTAGGAACGTTTGTGCCAGAAGGGGCTCCATAACACCAAGACGACCTGTGTGTAAGGAAGGAGGCTCCATAACATCAAAGAAGGTCTGTGCCAGAGGGAGCTCGAGAACACCGAGGAGACCTGGGTAGAAGGAAGGAGACTCCATAACATCAAGGAAGATCTATGCCAGAGGGGACTTCACAAGACCAAAAGAAGGGACTTCACCTGGGGATGACACTAAATCTACACTATGAGAGCACCTGGTTTCCTGCAATTACTTGAGTGGCCTAGAGTTTTGTTTGTTACAGAAATAAAGCTAAGTAACTTTTTCGTGTAACCCTGTCACATACAGACCATTGTCAATGCCCATTTGCTAGGAAGGTTAAGTAGCGTGTGCATGTGTGTTGTATGCAGATTTGTAATGCTCTGTATGCCTTGTGTTGTTTACATACAATTGTAAGTATTTTGTATGTACAGCATTCTTGTGTCGTAAAAGCACATTAATACACTATAGAGGTTTCTGCTTCCTTGCTTTGCCACAAAGTGGCCTAAAAGGTACAAGCAAAACATTATGACACTTGCATTGTAAAAAGGAGCATTTAAGCACAACCACTATGTACTGCTACAAAGCAGAGGGCAAAACATATATATGTATGAGCACATATGGCTACCCTTAGTTACATACACAATTACAAATGATACAAGGTTTTAAAAACATTAAAACTTTTTATAGGTTGTATATATTAAGCCAATCTCTTTAACATGTAAAAAAAAACCAAAAACAAATAGACATCTCCTTTATTGTTTCTCATGACAGCATTTTTCACATTTGGAACGTGCATACGGTTTCTCTCCTCTGTGAATTCTACCATGAGCTGTTAAGATGACCTCCGGGTAAAACATTTCCCGCATTCAGAACAGGAATAAGGCTTCACCCCCGTGTGAGTCCTCTGATGGCAAGTGAGGTGTGATAACTGAGCAAAGCACTTCCCACATTCCGAACAGGAAAATGGCTTCTCCCCCGTATGGACTCGCTGGTGCCTCACGAGCACCTCCTTCCAAGTAAAACATTTGCCGCATTCCAAGCAGGAGTACGGCCTCTCCAATGTGTGAATTCTATGGTGGATGGCAAGTTTGTATTTTGTGAAAAAAACTTTGCCGCATTCTGAACACGTGTACGTGGGTTCAATTTTTTGGGTTAAAGAGTTGTTCTCCGAACCCTGCAATATTTTATTCCCTTCATAAGGAGTGAGATGGGGGTGGTCAGGCAAACTCCTACCAAGTGTAGAGGGATCAGTATGGGCACTGTGAAGTGAATGGAGAAGATTTGGGCTAATGCGGTTTTCCTCTGAAGAACCAGATGTGATGTTATCTTCTACTTCACCCTCTGGAGAGATAGGAAGAGGTCTCTTTATCTGGTACCTTCTATACTGTCCATCTGTAAGACATGAACAAGAGCAGGAATTATTAATGAACTTCAGTATAATGATTCAGCAGGCAACCCATCCAGAGCTGATTAACCACTTGCTGCCCGGCCTATGGTCAAATGATGACCGGGCAAACACTATGTCCCTTCAGGAAAGCGTCATATGACGTCCTTCCCGGATTGCGCTTTGCGCGTGCCCGCAGTGCCACGCTGTAGCGAGATCTGCCACCGACCATGTACCTCGGACACGGCCGATGACAGATCTGTTTACCAGCCCCGTTGCCAGTACCATGTGACCTGCTGTGACCGATCACAGCAGGTCACAACAGTTGTATACAATGGATGGCTTCCTTTCATGCCATCCATTGCATACTAGTGTGTCTAGCTGTGAATGTTCACAGCAATCACATGCACAGGCTGGGCCAATCACAGCCCATCTGTATCATGTGATTAGCCGTGGCCAATCACAGCTAATTACAACCAAAAAACCCTGAATGTATCAATTTCATTCAGTTAAATGGCTTGCTTAAATGCTTGCTTATAGTTAAGAAATTGTTTGCTATAAGCAATCAATAAAACAAAATACTGATCACTTCCCCAAAGTAGTACAATGTTACTATTGTAACATTATACTACTTTGGGCATAGTGCAATATGAAAAAAAAAATCTTAAAAAATGTAATAAAAAAAAAAAAAAAAAAAAAAAAAATTGAAAAACAATATATATTTTTTTTTCATACTGTCACCAGTCAGTGTTCCTCATCACTGCCACACCAGTTATATGATAATGCTGTACTGCACTGGTGACAGTAAAAAAAAAAAAAATTAAAAAAAAAAAATTGTGAAAATAATTTTTTTTAATTTCTTCATTTTCCGACAAATTATGAGAAAAAAATTACAAAAATTAAAAAAACTCACCATGCTTCTTGTGAAATACGTTGGACTGTCTACTTTGCAAAAAGGGGTCATTTGGGGGATATCTGTCCTGACATTTGGGGGATATCTATACTGTTCTGACATTTGTGGGATATCTGTACTGTTCTGACATTTGGGGGGGATATCTGTCCTGTCCTGACATTTGGGGGATATCTGTACCGTTCTGACATTTGGGGGATATCTGTACTGTACTGACATTTGGGGGATATCTGTACTGTCCTGATATTTGGGGGATATCTGTACCGTTCTGCCATTTGGGGGATATCTGTACTGTCCTGCCATTTGGGGGATATCTGTCCTGCCATTTGGGGGATATCTGTCCTGTCCTGCCATTTGGGGGATATCTGTACTGTCCTGCCATTTGGGGGATATCTGTACTGTGCTGACATTTGGGGGATATCTGTACTGTTCTGACATTAGGGGGGATATGTGTACTGTTCTGACATTTGGGGGATATCTGTACTGTCCTGACATGGGGGATATCTGTACTGTACTGCCATTTGGGGGATATCTGTACTGTACTGCCATTTGGGGGATATCTGTACCGTTCTGACATTTTTGGGCCTCAAGAAATTAGATTGGCTGTCAGTACTTCAGGATTGATCAATTTTCAGATATATCCCATAGTTTTCTATAACTTTCCTACAGACTAAATAATAAACACTGATTTGGGTTATTTTCACCAAAGACATGTAGCAGAATACATCTCAGCCTAAATTTATGAAAAACAATTATTTATTTGCAAACTTTTATAACAAAAACAAAGAAAAACTTGTTTTTTTTTTCAAAATGTTCTGTCTTTTTTTGTTAATTTAGCAAAACATAAAAACCCCAGCGGTGATTAAATACCACCAAAAGAAAGCTCTAGTTGTGTGAACAAAATGATAAAATTTTAGTTTGTGTACAGTGTTGCATGACCACGCAATTGTTATTTAAAGTGTGAGAGCGCTGAAGCCTGAAAATTTGCCTGGGCAGGAAGGGGGTAAAAGTGCCCGGTATGGAAGGGGTTAAAAAGGATGGTGGCTAGAACAGTTATGCCTATGAGTTTTGGGACACCTGACCTTCACATCTATGTGAGCTTGCTGGACATCCTATTCCGAAACCATGGGTATGAATATAGAGTAGGGAATGTAAATAGGTTTAGTACATATTTTGTCTTTATTATGGCCAAGGCTATAATAACAAATTGAAAAAAAAACATATTAATGTACTATCTGGTTGTGGGCATTCCATTCCAAAACCATGGGAGTGCCCTGAGAATATATGCCAGTGAAGGCACCCAAGGGCTGGATTCTGGGGAATCCTGCTATTCCGGGACAGAAGTGTAGCTGTGTGGTTTTGCTAAGGAAACTGCAGACCTTTTTTAATTTTTTTTAACTCTTGTTTACCTGTAAAAGAGTTTTTATTTTGTTAAACTAAAGTGTACTAAAGTGTGTCAAATAGTCCCCTCCTGAAGAGGAAAAGACCTCCTCACTGCCCCCCCCCCCCCCCCGGGAAGCAGGACTGCAGATGGGGATAAAGCACACTCAGGTCCAGGCCCGGTCTGGGACAAAAAAAATAGGTCTTGGCATTTTAGACTGAGCAGACTAGTTTTTTTCATTATCATGACTTGCTAGAGAGGTTACTGCACATCCTTACCGCTCACTGACTAGTTGCTAGAGGTTACTGCACATACTTAACAGAGGATAACAGTAGGTAAAGTGAAGGCAGCATGCCAGCATCAGACATAGAGCTCTTTATCAGCACGCCAAAGAGTTGAAAAATTCACAAATTGTCTTTTTTCTAACAGCAGTCTGGCACTCGCTTTTTTCTCGTCAGCTCCTGGTGTCTGCGACAGGCAGCAGCAATGACACCAATCCCCGACCACAGGCCATGGGGTCTCCTCCCCCTTCATGGGTCACGGGTCAGCAGACCTGTAGATTCCACCCCCCGGCCCTGACAGCTGAACTGAATGGGTGGCCAGCCAGCCACAGAGAGAACTGGCTCAAGGAGCAGCCCAGCTACCCCTGCTGCTTTGAGCTCCGAGGACATGTGACCTGGCAGCCCCAGCACACCTGGCAAATGCCCAGTGTGCCCTATGGCCAGTCTGGGCCTGCTCAGGTCCACCTAGCCAAAAGGCTCTTTGGACCCACTCCTCATGATCAGCTAAAGCAAACTAATGAGCACTGGGTGGGGGACTCTCCCAAAAAGAGACCCCCTCAAGGCAGGGGAAGAAGGAACCACACATTGGCCACACATACTCCCCCTAGACTTCAGGGTATACCCGAAACGCCACACCCTACAATTCTTGAGTGAAAGGTGACAGAAAAAAAAAAAAAGACGACAGCGAGAAAAATAAAGTGCCAAAGTTAAATACTATGATCAGGCCTTGTGGCCTAGTAACAAAAATTGGCCCAGTCTCAGCCAAAAGGCCTAGGCCATGAGGTGATGAGTAGAAAAAAATCTTAGATGTCATGGTCTAGGGCTTTTTCACACGGCGGGGTCCCAAACCCACAGTGCCCACAGTACTCACAGAATACCACTCGAAGGGGACAGTTGACACCTCACGCTCACTGCCTTCCCCTTCCCATAGCCAGACAAGGTAGCACAGTTCAAATCAGGAGGCACTGGGCCCCCCAGAACCATTCACATTAGGGAAATACTTGCGATCCTCACCTTGCCCAGTGAACACTTAATTCAGTTTCCTTTCCCATGAGGAAGATCCCTCAGGGACCCCATTATACCAGCAAGGATACTATACAGCCAGCCATCCCAGCAAGAAGGCCAGAATGATGGCAGAGCACCCCACTGGACACCGATAAGAAGAGATATAATGATCTTAGCCAAAAGGCTGTGATCTGTAAAATAGCTTTGCTCATAACAAGCAAGATTGTTTATTTGTGGCAAAATTAAAAGGTAGCTAAAGACAACAGTAATCCAGCTGGTTAGTTAAATCTGACATTGGTGGACATCACACAAAGTTTTTTCCTTTATTTCTTATAAATGTGGGGTGAAACCTGCAAAGCCTTCCTTGAATTTAATGTTTATTACTCACCTGTGCTGATCTCTATAGGAATGTCCTCTTCTTTGATTTTCACTTCAGTTATTTCCTCCTCCTCTGTGCTGATGTTTCTCTGAGTGTCTCCGGGGTCTGTGAATAAAGAGGAGAGTGAAGCCCCCTGTACTGAGTTGTATGAGAGACCCCAGAGAGTGTCTGTGGGGGGAGACTGGTCACGTCTCAATGACATGATGTGAGGAGGAGAGCCAGAGTCTAATAGAGGCTGATGGCTCCTGACCCCCCCACTGGGCACATACTGTCCCTCCATTACTGTCTACTGACAGAGGAGGGGGGAGAAGAAGAGATTGTTGTAGTGACTGAACAAGGAGGATCCGGGACTCTTCTCTGGATTTAGTGTTTATTCCTCACCTGTGCTGATCTCTGGAGGGATCTCCTCCTCCTCACATGGATCATCACACATCACATATGGTTCTTCTTCATCCTCAGTTTTAACTATAATGTTAATTCCATCTTCATTCTGGAAACACAATATATCATCGTATTTCACCATTTTGCTAGATACACTAAGACTCTACAGCTCATACAGAATAGATTTCTATACTTTTTGATAAGACCCACAATCTTCTCTACCTGATCCTCTTGAGGATCTCCTGATGTTCCTGTGTGGAGTCCCGGGAATACAGAGGACGGGGACATCTCTCTGGTGGGTTCCCATTACTGGATCCATCTGTAGGAAACACACACACTGACTGAATCCAATGTTTCTATGTCTTTCTATCAGAGGATGTGTGTATCTAGGTGGATTCTCAATACAAGAAATTAAAGTCTCCTCTTACCCGGTGATGTGAGGGGCAGCCGGTTCTCCATCATGATGCTCTTGTGTCCTTCTAAATGCTCCCATTCCTACTAGAAGAAATAGTGACATTCCGACACACACAATGATACACTACACCATCCCCATTCCTTATGTCACAATAAATGTCCCAGAATTCCCAGCACCACTCACCTCTCCAGTCAGCAGCTCAGAAATCTTGTTGGTGACCTGTAATATCTTCTTCTTGTTTCTCTCAGGAATGAGGCAGTAAAATGGCTGTATGATGGGGTTCTTGCTCAAACTGTAACTTCCTGACGCATGTAAATGGTTGCAGGATGTAACATGACTAGTAGATATCTTCTTCACTACTGTGTAATCCTGTGCATTAAAAAATACATACATTTACCTTTAACAGTGGCAAAAGTATATCTGTCAGTGGTTTAATTTAACATTGATGTCATGAGATCTCCCAGAATCCTCCTCACCTTTCCGGTCAGGTCTGGGTTTTATTAATAGAGATAAGAGGGATGTCATGTGATTTCCCAGAATCCTCCTCACCTCTCTGGTCAGGCCTGTGTTTATTACCAGAAATAAAAGTGATGTCACGTGACCTCCCAGAATCCCCCTTACCTTTCCGGTCTGGTCTGTGTTTTATCATTAGAGAGAAGAGTCATGATATTGGACTTCACAGAATCCTCCTCACCTCTGGCCAGGTCTGTGTTTTATTAATAGAGATAAGAGTCATGTCATGTGACCTCCCAGAATCCTCCTCACCTCTCAGGTTAGGTCTGTGTTTTATTACTAGAGATAGGAGTGATGTCATGTGATCTCCCAAATGCTCCTCACCTCTATGGCCAGGTCTGTGTTTTATTAATAGAGATAAGAGTGATGTCATGTGACCTCCCAGAATCCTCCTCACCTCTCCAGTCAGCTCTGTTTTATTAATAGAGATAGGAGTGATGTCATGGGACCTCCCATATTCCTCCTCACCTCTCCAGTCAGGTCGTGTTTTTATTAATAGAGATAAGAGGGATGTCATGTGACCTCCCAGAATCCTCCTCACCTCTCCGGTCAGGTCTGTGTTTTATTAATAGAGATAAGAGGGATGTCATGTGACCTCCCAGAATCCTCCTCACCTCTCCGGTCAGCTCTGTGTTTTATTAATAGAGATAAGAATGATGTCATGTGACCTCCCAGAATCCTCCTCACCTCTCCGGTCAGGTCTGTGTTTTATTAATAGAGATAAGAGGGATGTCATGTGACCTCCCAGAATCCTCCTCACCTCTCCGGTCAGCTCTGTGTTTTATTAATAGAGATAAGAATGATGTCATGTGACCTCCCAGAATCCTCCTCACCTCTCCGGTCAGGTCTGTGTTTTATTAATAGAGATAAAGAGGGATGTCATGTGACCTCCCAGAATCCTCCTCACCTCTCCGGTCAGCTCTGTGTTTTATTAATAGAGATAAGAATGATGTCATGTGACCTCCCAGAATCCTCCTCACCTCTCCAGTCAGGTCTGTGTTTTATTAATAGAGATAAGAGGAATGTCATGTGACCTCCCAGAATCCTCCTCACCTCTCCGATCAGCTCTGTGTTTTATTAATAGAGATAAGAATGATGCCTTATAACCTCCCAGAATCCTCCTCACCTCCCCGGTCAGTAGGTAGATGATCTCCAAGGTGAGGTCCAATATCCTTTCTGCTATTCTCTTCCTTCCCCATGGTTCAGTCATGACTGGTTAAAAAGACTCTGTCTCTTGCCAAAACACCTTCCAATGAGCGGATTTACTTAGCGATCCTGTAATATAGAATATACAACCACAAATGAAAAGTCCTTTACCTATAAATAAAAATATCCAGTTGTGTAGGAGCTCTAATTCTCCATTCCTCTCTGTAGACTGGCAAGAGACAAGCCAGCACCAAATGTAATGGAAAGGGGATCACTAATGTGTATTATCCAATAATTGTGCCTTGTCAAGAGTTTCTCGTAATTCCTAATGGAACTATCAGAATCATCTGCATAAAGGCAGTTCACAGCTTGCAAACACAAATGCTGAAGGACTGAAAATATGGACTGAAAATATCAACATTTTCAATAGTTTTTATGATTGGCCAAGACATAAGATAACGTAAAGTACAATTCCGTGCTAAACCTAACTAGTCTTAAAAAATGATCCCTCCCCCCTCCTAATACCCATGCTGACTAACCTGTGCAAGAAAGATTGATATACTTACCTTCAGCCTGCTCAGGTTCGGTCATATGATCCCCAGCCAGTGATGGTTTCAGGGGGACAGAAGAGAGCACTGGACAATGGCTAGTAATGCAATGACTCACCCATGGGACTGTGACATTATTAAGTGTTCTTGCATGGCAAGACCACTTATTGTTAACTCACATATATATTCTTATTATAGCCAAATTTACCACCCTAACTCCTCCCACAGTTTTTTACACTACATAGACATGTAATAAACCAAAACGTGCGGACTGTTCCTGATTGGTGTGCTATTACTTTGTGGAATGTTTCACCGAATGGTTCACGAAATATCGCCATTTTTGTGGTGAAATTGGTCCCATAGGAATGAATGGCGGAATGTTCAAAACTAGAGTGGGAGCTGACAAAAGCTAGAGTGTGAGCTGAAAAATCAGGACATGATTTCTAAACTGCCATCACTCCCTCATTTTCAAGCCCACCTACACAAATCTTATATCAAAACGTTCAGCTATCCCTGCTGCCACTAAAAAGGTCCACGGCTAAGCCATAGTCCTGATAGTTTTCACAATATGACCATTTGCTTGCAACTCACGCCGCCCATTGACATTCATTGAAAATCCACTCTAGACACCTGAAATTTGAAGGGCAATTTCTAAACTGCGGCTATGCCTTCATTTTTAATATTTCAGAGACATGCTATGCATCAAAATGTAGGTCTGGGTATTGTGATTCTCACAATATAAAGCTCTTCAATGTAGGATTTACAGTTTTCAAACTACAACCGTTTGAAGATGGCAACCGCCAGTGAAGTAAGCAACTTGGAGCAGTTTGTTTTTTAACCGCTCCTCTGCTCTTGTGAGTTGCCATAGGAACCCAGGTGTGTGAGCAGGCAGCAGAGTGACAAAAGCTACTCTGCCCACTCCAGTTGTAGACTACTGGTGGAGGCAAGAACACTTCACACAATTTCCCCAGAAATTTTAGCATTTCTAGTTATTATTATACAGTATTTATAAAGCACCAACAGTTCGCTCAGCGCTGTACATTACAATGGGAGACAGAACATCCGACAGTACAATAACTATACAATGCAATACACGAGGGGTTCGAGGGCCCTGCTCCTTGGAGCTTACAATCTAGGAGGGAGGAGATGGTGGCACAGGAGGAAATAGCTGTGGGGGATGGAGTGGTAGGAAGAGTGGAGGAGGTCGGTCAAGTTAGCAGGGGGCGGGGTAGGCTTCCCTAAAGAGATGGGTTTTCAGGGTGCGCCTAAAGGAGAGGAGAGTAGGTGATAGTCTGATGGATTGAGGTAGGGAGTTCCAGAGTATGGGTGACGCCCTGGAGAAGTCCTGGAGGCGGGCATGGGAGTAAGAGACTAGGGAACTAGAGAGAAGGAGGTCTTGTGAGAAGCGGAGAGTGCGTGTTGGGTGGTATTTGGATATTAGGTCGGTGATGTAGTTTGGGGCAGTATGATGGACAGCTTTGTACGTCAGTGTTAGGGAGTTGCAGTAATCGAGTCGTGATATGATTAATGAGTGGATGAGCTGTTTATTGGTTATTGGGTATGGGCGTATTTTGGCGATGTCGCGGAGGTGGAGTCTGCATGAGTTTGTTAGTGATTGGACTTGGGGCTGGAAGGATAGATTGGAGTCACGAATGACACCAAGTACTCTGGCCTGCGGGGTGGGCCTGATGGTGGCAGTGTTGGATGTGATGAAGAAGTCAGTAGGGGGGGGTGCGCGGGCTGGGGGGAAGACTAGGAGCCCGGTTTTGGAGAGGTTCAGTTTAAGGAAGTGGAGCGACATCCAATCTGATATGTCGTTCAGTAGGCTTGTGATTCGGGCGGAGACTGAGGGGGTGAGGCGAGGGGTCGAGAGATATATTTGCGTGTCATCGGCATAGAGGTGGTAGTTGAAGCCGTGGGAGTGTATGGGTTGGCCAAGGGAAGAGGTGTAGATGGAGAAGAGAAGGGGCCCAAGGACAGAGCCTTGAGGGACCCCAACAAAGAGGGGGAGTGAGGGGGAGGTGGTAGCCTTATAGGTATTGCTGAAGGAGCTTTGTAATAGGTAGGGCGAGAGCCAGGAGAGAGCGGAATCTCTGAGGTCAAGGGATTGTAGTTTTTTGAGGAGGAGTTTTTCGACTGTGTCGAAAGCCGCGGAGAGGTCGAGAAGTAGGAGCACTGAATAGTGGCCATTAGCTTTGGCGGTTAGCAGGTCGTTGGAGAGTTTGAGTAAGGCGGTTTCAGTGGAGTGTAGGGGATGGAAGCCGGACTGTAGGGGATCGAGGAGGTTGTTGTCGTTGAGGTGGGAGCTTAGGCGAATGTAGACTAAGCGCTCGAGGAGTTTGGATGTGAATGGCAGCAGGGAGATGGGTCTGAGGACCCATCACCCATAGGAGCGGTGACGTCACGAATAGGACATCACCCATAGGAGTAGTGATATCACAAATAGAAACGGTGACGTCACACATAGGAGCAGGGACGTCATCCACAGGAATGGTGAGGTCACATATAGGACACCACCCATAGGACATCACCCATAGGAGCGGTGACATCACCCATAGGTTAACCCACTGGCTGACACAGAAGAGTTGGGTTGCGGGGGGGCAGCAGGACATAAGGGGGGCAACAGGACAGGAGGGGGCAGGGAGACAGGTGGTGGAAGTGTCATGGGAGGGGGACAGTGGGACAGGTGGAGGGCAGCGTCATAGGAGGGGGGTAGCGGGACAGGTGGAGGGCAGCCTCACAGGATGGGGGCAGCGGGACAGGTGGAGGGCAGCAGGACAGGTGGGAGGGGCAGCATTACAGGAGGGGGGCAGCGGGACAGGTGGAGGGCAGCAGGACAGGCGGAGGGGCCAGCATCACAGGAGGGGGGGCAGCAGGACAGGGGGGGGGGCAGCAGGACAGGCGGGGGGCAGAATCACAGGAGGGAGGTAGCGGGACAGGTGGGGGGCAGCAGGACAGGCGGAGGGCCAGCATCACAGGAAGGGGGTAGCAGGACAGGTGGGGGGGCAGCAGGACAGGCGAGGAGCCAGCATCACAGGAGGGGGGTAGCAGGACAGGTGGGGGGGCAACATCACAGGAGGGGGGCAGCGGGACAGGTGGAGGGCAGCATCACAGGAGGGGGGTAGCGGGACATGTGGAGGGCAGCAGCAGGACAGGTGGGGGGCAGCATCACAGGAGGGGGGCAGCATCACAGGAGGGTGGGTAGCGGGACAGGTGGGGGGCAGCGGGACAGCTCTCAGTTGTCCAGCAGTGGCTCCTCCAGATGGTGCCAGTGGAGAGGATCTGGTGCCAGAAGGGGTAACCGAGCCTGTGTCCACCTGATTATTGTTGTCGGTGGGGGAGTTGGTGCAGTACTGGAGGTGGGGCTGTCCGCTGTCACACAGGTGGTGGAACTTGGTGGCCCCAGCGACTCCGATCTGCACGAGGTGCTCCCCAAGTGGGGAGCCGCATATGTTGATGACCACCACTGTTGATGGGGCGGTCACTGCGGGGGGTGCGCCCTCCACTCCATGGGCTCTCCAGGGTTAGGGTGGTTTTAAGGGGTGGCTGTGTGGTGGGTGACGAGCATGCAGTGTCCTCCTGTGGGCGGCTTTGGTGGGGCTATACAGGGAATTTGGGAGGAGAGGTGTGCACCAAGGAGCTCCACCTGGATGGGGAGGGATAGGGAAGAGGGTAGGGGAGCACAGGGCAGTGTGGGCTGGTGGAGGCCCAGGCGACCTGGCGCCTGGGATTTGTCGAGCCCTGCTTTTGAGCATAAGGAGTATGTCTCCCCTTCCTCCTAGGATGCAGCAATCAAGCCCCAAGCGGCCAATCACCAGACATGAACAGTCATGTGGTGGAGGGAAGGAGGTCACTATCCCCATGAAACATAGACCGACAAGGAACGTACGAAAGAAGAAGAAGATGGTACAGAAAAGGTAAGAATCAGCAGGTGGTACATCAAGGGAACCTATTACAGGTGATCTATAAATACATTGATTGCAGTCATCACGAAACATTCACCCAATCTGGCAAGCCTGGGCAAAGAGCTTAAAAGCATGGGTCACCTTCACCAAAAAACTGCCTATGCAGATAAGGGATACCTGTAGATAAATGCATACAAACTTGAAAAATGCCCTTACTATAGCCGTAGGCCTTGTTGCTAGGACGTTGCTAAGAGACTCCTGTTTACCTCCACCATCCCAGGAGTGAGCGCTCAAATACAGAGCTCAGAGCTACTGTATCAGGAGAGTGAAGGAGCATGTGAGGGGGTTTGAATCAGAGGAAGAACTCACTCCTGTGATGGTGAAGGTGAGCAGTAAGAGCTGGGAGTGTTTTAGCAACGTCTTAGCAACAAAGCAGGACTGGATAATGCCTTCTGTGGGAGTTTTTCAAGCAGGTTTCAGGAAGTACATAAACGGCCTACACCTATAGCAAGGATATTAGTCAACTTCGGTCAAAGCCGCTCAGTTTGTCTTTACCTGAAGAATCGGCTTGGGTGAGGACACCGCTGGATCCCTGGACAGGTAAGTGCCCTAATATTAAAAATCAGCAGCTACAGAATTTTATTTATTAAATTTTTTTTTTGGGGGGCGGAAGTCCGCTTTAATCATTATGGGGCAGAGTTGATGTTGGGGAGGTCTGCAGATCCCCCCCAATGGATAAAACATTCACACCCAGCTTAGGCTGACCTACACATCTGCAGATCCTTAGTAATAATGTACATTGCGCCGGATCATACTTGCATGCCCAGTCGCCACATCGTGTCATTTTACACCATACAATCATTTTAGTGGCTGGACAAAAAGTCTAGTCTTCTTTCAGTAATGACAGCTATGGAGGAAAGAGGGGCAGAGGATTCTGGTCATCAATCAGGGACTGCTGGTGGGGGGGGTCTTCCAGTGTGCCCCACCCACTACATTCCAGCCATGACATTATTATTAGAAGTGACAACACTATGAATTAGATCTACCTGTTCCAGGAGGTTCTCCTCAGTCTGGTCACACAGAAGTAAACACAACCTGTACATGAACTAAGCTCTCATTTTAAAAAAAAATTCCCTACTACAGACCACAACAAAATGGCCGCTGCTTTCCCCGTAGGACACTATTTGGGCTACAACAAAATGGCCACTAAGTTCTACTGGTTTCACCCAATCACAGCGCCGTTGTGTAACATTGTGAGAGCTTGTGAATGTAACACCAGCAGGGGGCGCAGTTAGGCTCTTTCCTCCAGCTGCAGTTGGTTCAGTGAGTACCCGGAAGTGATAGAAAGCAACATTGACCTTCGTGTGTGGGAGGGGTTTGTAGGCGGAAGTGAGGTTGTTTTCTATAAAAAAAAAAGGGTTCCTAACTAATAATTAAAGGTGAATAATTAATAAAACTAATAAAAAATACAAAGAGGGATGGGGTGGGATAATAATATTGTCTTCTTATTATGAGAGAAGGGGGTCTCATTAATTATGCGCAAAAAGTTGCGGAAAAGAAGCCCATGACGCTTTTCCAAATATGCGCTGCACCATGCGATTTGGCGTGGGCGTTTGCAGATGCACGGGGAGACATTAAAGGCATCCCTGTGTGTTTGCAATTATTGTTATACAGTATTTATATGGCGCCAACAGTGCGCAGCGCTTTACAACGCGAGGGCGGACGGTACAGTTCCAATACAATTCAATACAGGAGGAATCAGAGGGTCCTGTGCATCGGAGCTTACAATCTAAAAAGGGGAATGCGTTTCTTTCACCGCCTGACCTCCAGGCCTTTTTCTGACACTTTTGTTTACATGTACAAATCAATATTTTTTTGCTAGAAAATTAGTTATTTTAACAGCTTTAGGACCGCCCTATAGCATACATATATATATCTGCTATATATATATATAAATCACGTATATAAGTCATTCTGCATTTCCGGGTAGGGGGCGCACGCGAGCCTTATCCTCACCGCCATTTGCGGCCGCGGATGTCAATCACTGGGTCCAGGATGGTAATTACCCACCAGCACCCGGTGATTACCAAGCATCTCCGACGGGGAGGAAGATTGTATTGTTTACAAACAATCTTCCTCTCTGTCAGCTCGAGCACACTGCGCACTGTACAGCCATCCCGATCAGTGTGCTTACAGTGAAGCACACGCCCCCTAGTAAAACACTCCCAGAACACAGTTAACCCTTTGATCGCCCCTTGCAATAACCCCTTCCTGCCCAGTGCCATTAGTACAGTGGCAGTGCTTTTTTTTAGCACGGATCACTGTATTGGTGTCACTGGGGATGTCAATGACACCAAGTTAGTTCCACCCCAGTGTCAGATTGTCCATAGCTTATAGCACAAAAAATAAAAGACGCACAGGCAATAAAATACCACAAAAAGAAAGCTCAATTCATGGGAAAAAAAGGACGTAAATTTAATTTGGGTGCAGCATTGCATGACCGCATGTCGCTGATCGCCGCCATTACTAGTAGAAAAAAAAATCCCATTATCTGACGTCATTTGTAAACGCTACAACTTTCATGTAAACCAATTAATTTACAAGTATTGGGATTTTTTTCTTAGCAAAGACATGGAGGAGAATATATTTTGGCCTAAATTTATAAGGAAATTTGATTTTTTACATTTTTTTACTGGACATGTTTAATAGTAAAAAGTCAAAAATATAGTTTTCTTTCTCAAAATTGTTGATCTTTTTTTTTGCTCATAGAGCAAAAAAATAAAACAAATCTGAGGCGATCAAATACCACCGAAAGAAAGATCATTTGTGGGAAAAAAGGACGTAAATTTAATCTGGGTGCAGCGTTGCATGACCGCGCAATTGTCCGTTAAAGTAACACAAAAAATGGCCTGGTCAGGAAGGGAGGAGCTCTAGGTGGATCCTCAATACAAGAAATTAAAGTCTCCTGTTACCCGGTGATGTGAGGGGCAGCCGGTTCTCCATCATGGCGTCCTTGTAGAGGTCCTTGTGTCCTTCTAAATACTCCCACTCCTCCATGGAGAAATGGACAGTGACATCCTGACACCTTATAGGAACCTGAAACACACAATGATACAGTCACCATCCAGACACATCCCTTGTCTGTTACTGGATAATGTCCCAGAATTCCCGGCACCGCTCACCTCTTCTGTCAGCAGCTCAATGATCTTGTTGGTGACCTCTAGTATCTTCTTGTCAATTTTGTTCTCAGTTGTCATGGAGGGCAGTAAAGGTTCCATCATGGGGCTCTGGCTGCATCTTTTTGACAAACAGGAATGGTTGTTTGGTGTAAAATTATCCCCAGTTTTTTTCTTTAATATTGTGTATTCTTGGAGTTTAACAAATATATACATCTTACCTTTACAAAAAAATTATTTTAAAATGACATCCAAGGTCCACTTTATCAGAGTTAAAGTGTTATTAAACCCACAACAGTAAAATCAGCCTATATATGCAGGAAAGCATGCTTGTTATACTCACTGTGGAACCTAAGGGTTTAATCATCTGCATTGTGTAAAAAGGCTGTTTGATCCTGTCTACTCTGATCCTCCCCTTCTTCTACTGTCCCCATTTCATCTGCTGATAGAACAGAGCATTGGGGGCAAGCTGCACATGCTCAGTTTGGTATATATTACTAGAGAGTTTTTTTTTTTTCGTGGGAGAGTGCATGTGATCAGCACAGGACCAATCAGCGCTATCCAGACAGAGGGTCAGGGTTTATGCAGCCTCATAAAATAATCAGGGGAGATTAAAAAGTCCTTCTACAAGGTTAACCAGTACTCTGCTGGACACTGATAGAAATCACAGGACTGCTCTAACTGCTGATTAGAAAAGGTATTTAGCAGTTTATATTTACTAAAATAATTGCATTTCCATGTTCTGTGTACTGTGGGAGACCGAATATAATGAATGCAGGGTCCGAGGAGACCAGATATAGTGAATGCAAGGTCTGGGGAGACCAGATAAAGTGAATGCAAGGTCTGGGCAGAGCAGATATAGTGAATGCAGGGTCCGGGGAGACCAGATATAGTGAATGCAGGGTCTGGGGAGACCGGATATAGTGAATGCAGGGTCCGGGGAGAGTGGATATTGTGAATGCAGGGTCCGGGGAGAGCGGATATAGTGAATGCAGGGTCTGGGTTTAATAACAATTTAAGAGTGATGTGATGTGACCTCCCAGAATCCTCCTCACCTCTACGGTCAGGTCTATGTTTATTAATAGAGATAAGTGATGTCATGTGACCTCCCAAAATCATCCTCATCTCTCCACTCAAGGCTTTTATTAATACAGATAAGTGATGTCATGTGACCTCCCAGAATACTCCAAACCTCTCCACTCAGGGCTATGTTTTATTAATAGAGATGAGTGATGTCATGAGACCTCCCAGAATCCTCCCCACCTCTCCGGTCACCAAGTAGATGATCTCCAGTGTAAGGCTCAATATCCTCTCAGTCATCCTTTCATCCTTCCTTTTCTAAGGAATGTCCGTTAATTGAGGAACAAGAATCTGGTTCTCCTGAAAGTGTTACACACGACCAACCAATTCCCATCCATAATTCCTCTATTCCATCTCTAAAGCTACAAAAATGGTTGAGGAGTCAGAATAAGAAGACCAAGCATGGGCCAAGTTTTTACTCAATATACAAAGTTCATAAGTATTCTTTGGCTAATATGACCATGAATAATCACAACAGATATCCTCCAAGTGGTGTAAACTTGATTTGTCGGGTATGGAAAATTAGTGTGAAGGTGTACTGTTTGAACTGTAGATCTGGGACCATGAGGATGATACAAAGTGGAGACACCAAGCCCTAGGACATGATAATCTAGCACCCAGGGCAAAGATGCCAAACTGCGCCCCCTCACGTTCCTGATGTGCAAGGAATCTGCTTAGAGGGTGCGCAATCAACACCTCCAAGGGCAGGTCTGAGAGGAGAAGTGATGTAGCTGTCACTACTCTTGTCACCTTGCAACAGAAGGTCCAGCACAGGGTACCCCCATCCTCGCAATGAACCACTGCGTCCAGGGCAGCTGTCCCTCCTACCCACCCCTTGTCCCAGTCCTGGAGACACCCCAAGATGATGACCTCCAATGAGGCTGATGGTGACCTCTGATGAGGCTGAAGGTGAGCTCCTTTGGGGCTGATGGAGAGCTCCAATGGGGCTTATGGTGACCTCCGATAAGGCTGAAGGTGAACTACTTGGGCTGATGGAGAGCTCCTCTGGGGCTGATGGGGAGCTACTCTGAGGCTGATGGGGAGCTCCTCTGAGGCTGACGTTAAGCTCCTCTGGTCCTAATGGTGAGCTCCTCTGAGGCTGATGGTGAGCTCCTCTGGGTCTGATGGGGCACTCCACTTGGGCTGATGGGGAGCTACTCTGTTGTTGATGGTGAGTTCCTCTCAGGCTGATGGCGAGCTCCTCTGAGGCCTATGGTGATCTCCTCTGGGGCTGATGGTGAGTTCCTCTGGTGCGAAGGTGAGCTCCTCTTAGGCTGATGGGGGAGCTCCTCTGGGGCTGATGGTGATCTCCTCTGTTGCTGATGGGGAGCTCTGCTGGGGCTGATGGTGAGCTCCTCTGAGACTTATAGTGATCTCCTCTGGGGTTGATAGTGAACTCCTCTGAGGATGATGGTGAGCTCCTCTGGGGATGATAGTGCGCTCTTCCAAAGATGATGGTGAGCTCCTCTGGGGTTGATAGTGAACTCCTCTGAGGATGATGGTGAGCTCCTCTGGGGATGATAGTGTGCTCTTCCAAAGATGATGGTGAGCTCCTCTGGGGTTGATAGTGCGCTCTTCTGAGGATGATTTTGATGAGTTCTTATGAGGATCATGGTGAGCTCCTCTGGGGTTGATAGTGAGCTCTTCTGAGGATGATGGTGAGCTCTTCTGGGGTTGATAGTGAGCTCCTCTGGGGTTGATAGTGAGCTCCTCTGGGGTTGATAGCATGCTCTTCTGAGGATGATAGTGAGCTCCTCTGGGGATGATGGTGAGCTCCTCTGGGGTTGATAGAGAGTTCTGAGGATGATGGTGAGCTCTTATGAGGATGATGGTGAGCTCTTATGAGGACGATGGTGAGGTCCTCTGGGGTTGATAGTGAGCTCCTCTGGGGCTGATGGTGAACTCCTCTGGGGTGGATAGTGAGCTCCTCTGGGGTTGATGGTGAACTCCTCTGGGGTGGATAGTGAGCTCCTCTGTGGTTGATAGTGAGCTCCTCTGGGGCTGATGGCGAACTCCTCTGGGGTTGATAATGAGCTCCTCTGGGGCTGATGGGGTTCTACTTTAAGCATGTAATCCCTATGCTGGGGCCAAGCAGCATGGCAGGAAAATAGTACCATGTGCACCTGGGTCACTGAATGTACTATCAGGCCTGGCAGAGCTCCCCATGTAATGTCCTACATATCAGTGGCTCTGTGGTCAGCACTTCAGCCTTGCAGCACTGGGGTCCTCCATAAGATCTGAGAATCAGGGACCTTAGATTGTAAGCTCTTGGGGGCAGAGGCTGTTGTGTAAATGGTCAGCTGTATATAAATGTCTCTTCTAAATAATCAGAGGAGTTGCAGGAAGATGAGGATGTGTGGAGGTGACATGATCCCCTCATGCAGCCACACACAGTGCTGGGACCCCCTTCTCTCATAATAAGAAGATATTACTAACTCCTCCTCACTCCAGCTGCAAACAAATGGCTGTTCTACTCCCTGGCCAAAAAAAAAAAAAAATTCACCACAGAAACCAGGAAGCAGCTGGGCTGCCGTGGAACGCACAGGTAACCACAGGGCGGAAGCAGCTGTATCCTAGTAACGAACTGTTATGGCCGGAGAGGCCACTGGATGGCAGCAGAGAGCAGTATTTCTAAATCCTTCCTATTACAGAGATTTACCAAACTCATTGTCATTGTTTGTATTTGATGTCATACATTGTTATCAATATACAAGGGTACATATTGATACATGTACAGATTGAGATTGTCCCCAGTGCTGGAGGACCGGCGGCCATTTTATTGTAGACTTGGAGGAGGCTCTCCAGCAATGTGAGAATCCTCCTGGAGAGTGTGTGTCCAGGGAGGAGGAGGTAATAATGTCTTCTTATTATGAGAGAAGGGGGTCCCAGCACTGTGTGTGGACTGGATGGGGGGATCATGTCACCTCCACACATCCTCATCTTCCTGCAACTCCTCTGATAGGGGGAACATTGGATGGGAGCTCTTCTGGAGCTGATGGTGAGCTCCTCTGAGGATGATGGTGAGCTCCTCTGAGAATGATGGTGAGCTCCTCTGGGGATGATGGTGAGCTCTCCTAGGGCTACTGAAACCAAAACAGAAGGGGATCCCAGCACTATGTGTGGGCTGGATGAGGGGATCATGTCACCTCCACACATCCTCATCTTCCTGCAACTCCTCTGATGGTTGGAACATTGGATGGGGGGGCTCTGTTGGGAGATGGTGAGCTCTTCTGGGGCTGATGGTGAGCTCCTCTGAGGATGATGGTGAACTCTTCTAAGGCTGATGGTGAGCTCCTCTGGGGCTGGTGGTGAGCTCCTCTGAGGATGATATGGAGCTCCTCTGAGGATGATGGTGAGCTCCTCTGAGAATGCTGGTGAACTTCTCTAGGGCTGAGGGTGAGCTCTTCTGGGGCTGATGGTGATTCCTTCTGGGGCTGATGGTGAGCTCCTCTGAGAAGGATGAAGAACTCCTCTGAGGATGATGGTGAGCTCCTCTGAGGATGATGGTGAGCTCTTCTGGGGCTGATGGTGAGCTCCTCTGAGGATGATGGTGAGCTCCTTTGGGGCTGATGATGAGCTCCTTTGGGGCTGATGGTGAGCTCCTCTGAGGATGATGGTGAGCTCTTCTAAAGGCTGATGGTGAGCTCCTCTGGGGCTGGTGGTGAGCTCCTCTGAGGATGATGGTGAGCTCCTCTGAGAATGCTGGTGAGCTTCTGTAGGGCTGATGGTGAGCTCTTCTGGGGCTGATGGTGATTCCTTCTGGGGCTGATGGTGAGCTCCTCTGAGAAGGATGAAGAGCTCCTCTGAGAATAATGGTGAGCTCTTCTGGGACTGATGGTGAGCTCCAATGGGGTTGATGGTGAGCTCCAATGGGGCTGATGGTGAGCTCCTCTGACTGATGGTGAGCTCCTCTGAGGATGATGGTGAGCTCCTCAGGATGATGGTGAGTTCCTCTGGGGCTGATTATGAGCTCCTCTGAGGATGATGGTGAGCTCTTCTGGGACTGATGGTGAGCTCCTCTGGGGCTGATGGTGAGCTCCTCTGGGGCTGATGGTGAGCTCCTCTGGGGCTGATGGTGAGCTCCTCTGAGGCTGATGGTGAGCTCTTCTGGGACTGATGGTGAGCTCCAATGGGGCTGATGGTGAGCTCCAGTGGGGCTGATGGTGAGCTCCTCTGACTATGATGGTGAGCTCCTCTGAGGATGATGGTGAGTTCCTCTGGGGCTGATTATGAGCTCCTCTGAGGATGATGGTGAGCTCTTCTGGGACTGATGGTGAGCTCCTCTGGGGATGATGGTGAGCTCCTCTGGGGATGATGGTGAGCTCCTCTGGAGATGATGGTGAGCTTCTCTAGGGCTGATGGTGAGCTCTTCTGGGCATGATGGTGAGCTCCTCTGAGAAGGATGAAGAGCTGCTCTGGGGCTGATGGTGAGCTCCTCTGAGAATGATGGTGAACTCTTCTGGGACTGATGGTGAGCTCCAATGGGGCTGATGGTGAGCTCCTCTGAGGATGATGGTGAGCTCCTCTGAGAATGCTGGTGAGCTTCTCTAGGACTGATGGTGAGCTCTTCTGGGGCTGATGGTGAGCTCCTCTGAGAAGGATGAAGAGCTCCTCTGGGGCTGATGGTGAGCTCCTCTGAGAATGATGGTGAGCTCTTCTGGGACTGATGGTGAGCTCCAATGGGGCTGATGGTGAGCTCCTCTGAGGATGATTGTGAGCTCCTCTGAGGATGATTGTGAGCTCCTCTGAGGATGATGGTGAGCTCCTCTGAGGATGATGGTGAGCTCCTCTGAGGACCTGTACGACCCAAGGGTGTGAAGTGGTAAAGGCAGATTTCTATGACATTTACATGGCACCAAACATCTTAGCTGCCATTATTTTAATACTATTTTCCATGTTACTCAGTTTGTTCATGGAGCTGTTGTCAAAAAGACGGAAGTGTACATAAAACCAAGGTTGATTTGTGTATAGGATTTATTTCACGAGCTGCAATTTTTTAAAATGTTCTTAAAATATATTGCAGTGTGAGCTTTATGGAACAGCGCATATTCCAATCACAAAGTGAGAAATACAGAGGAGTAGGAGTATACAGAAGGACTCAAGGATCTGTTGAAGAACATCATGATGGAGCACCGGCCGCCCCTCACATCACCAGGTAAGAGGAGACTTTCATTTCTTGTATTGAGGATCTACCTAGATACACACATCCTCTAATATAAGAACATAGTATGTCAGGTTCCTATAAGGTGTCAGGA